GCTCCCTATGACGATGTAGTGCAACACCCTGTTTTGCGAAAGAAATTAAAAAAAAAACTCATAAAGACTCATCAGATGAAAAAAACTCATAAAGACTCAAAGAGATGAAGATGATGATGGTCCCACCTCTTACCCCTACAAAGGTTTAAGCTGGATGATTTATCTTTAAGATAGTTGAATATGACATTTTAACCAGGCTAGCAAACAAAATCGAACTGGTTTCAGTGACAGATATAAATTCCCTCTAGAGTTTACAGTTGCTTCACAGCGATATAAATGTGGAAAAGCTCAGGCGTCCACCTCTTAGTTCGCCTTTTTGTCCACCTAAAATATTCATAAGTATTACAAGTAATCAAGAGTAAATGAACAATCAACAAAGCATCCTATTACACTAGCAACCCCGCAATCTGATGCTATCACAATTTTCAGGAATGCTCACGAACCCCCAAAATTTGTCAGAAAACTTACTACTAACTCAAGGTATCTTCTAAATAAGCTTCAAAATTGCATTTTTTGTTATCAAATGTTAAATTCAGTCCTCTATATCCGTAATGCGCGCGCGACGCTCAAACCTTTGTAGACTACTTTTTTTTTTAAATTGATCTTCTATTAAATCAAATATTAAAAATCCATCATCACCATCGTGGCGAACAGAAATAGTTTTTGCAGTGCTACAATAGTTATTATTAAAAAGTCGTTATGACAGCTATCCATATAAAATAATCCGTTAGAGATAACTGTACATAATTTATCAATTCATAAAAAAATCACTGGATAACTGTTCAAAGACAGTTTTAACGTGTGCGCTGTAATCTCGATATTTGTGTTGCATTGGCCAGAAATAAAATGGAATGGCAAAAGTCTAGATAAGGAGAGATGATTGATTTGTATAGCTGTATTTTACTGGCAATAGTTAAATCGTTTTTCAGTCGACATAGAATTCCATACTTCTTGGAAATTTTCTTGATGACATTGTCAATGTGAGAGTTAAACTTAATTGTGTCATCAATAATCACACCAAGATATTTAATCTCCCAAACGCGATCAATAGTCTCATCATCAATTACAACAGAGACGTTCTCATTTACTCGATTCCGCGAAATTACCATAAATTTAGTTTTACTTGTATTCAATTTCAACTACTTATACTTCAACCATCTACTTAAGAGAATGCAAATCTTCATTCAAGTGTAAAACGGCATCATCAAAATCCTTAGCTGCAATGAATAACACAGTATCATCTGCAAAAAAAAAAAAAATAATGTCGCAAAATCGTAAAACACGTCGCAAGTCATTAATATACATAATAAATAATAGGGGCCCTAATACACTTCCCTGGGGCACTCCAAGGTTATTCCCCACGGGACTGGAAACAGATTCATTAAAAACAGTCCGTTGAGTTCTGTCAGACAAATAGCTTTCAAATCATTTATATGCAGTACTCCTGCAGGGCCTAGAAATTGTTTAAAAAGCACGTTTAAGATCCAAAAAACTGTAACAATCGTATATTTACACTCCAAGCTATTTTCCACTTCGATAATACCAAATTCAACGTGGTTTCACAAGAATTACCTTCCTGATATCTCGATTGTTCTGGTATCAACAAACTATTACTATTTAAATACTCCAACAGCTGGCCTTTAACAACAAGATCTAAAATTTTCTCTAATATGTGCAACATGTTGATGGGACGAAACTCTTCGGGTTTAATCGTTCCAGCAACTTTTTGAATAGGAACCACTAAGGATTCCTTTAAATTGTAATGATTCATTAATAAGGTCCAGCAAGATGTGGCCAACGACATGAAAGCAATCTTGAATAACTCTAGCATTAACATTATCTACTTCTGCCAATTTTTCTAATGAAAAACAAATAACTCTAAGTTCATCTAATGTAATTGGGTGAAAAACTTTAAATCTACAACTACTATTAACTAGCTGTTTTATTTCATCAGGTTCATCGACCAATTCAATGGATTGATTAATCAATGAAGCACTGTCGACAAAATAATCATTAAATTTAGTTGCAATTACTTGTTCGGACAGTTTTAATGTGCCATTAAAAGTTATGGACCGCGGTTTGCAATTACTAGGTTTTAATAAGGATTTCAAAATTTTCCATAACTCTTTGCTGTTGTTTTGATGCTGTTCAATCTTCCTTTGAACATATTCACAACGAGTTTTCTTTATCGATTGTGAATACTTATTACGCGCGATTGTATACCTATTCCAATGATTGTCATTATTTGATATACAAAACTTTTTGTACCATTTGTCCCTTTTCCGTTTAAGACGCTAAGGATCCAAATTGTACCAGCTGTTCGAGTTCTTCAAAGAAACAAACTTTTACTCAACTAGTTGATTAGTACACGTTTTCAAAGCGTTATTAAGAACAGCTGTAGATTCATCTATGTTACCGGCGGCAAGTGGAAAATCCACGCTCCTCTCAACAAGATTCGAAACAGCTTGCTTCGAATATTTCCTCCAGCACTTCAATTTTACAAAATTATCGTTATCGTTAACATGGTCTAAGACATTAATCACTAAGGTCTCAAATCAGTATATCAGAGATACAATATTGTTGTATTCAGAGCTGAGCGTGCATTAGCGGAGCGGAGCAAAATTTGCGTTTGCTTGAGAGAGAGAGAAGTAGTACTTTTCTCTCTTTCGTAGCTTCACAAAATCTCGTTCCGCGCGTGCAATATCGCTCAGAACGGAATTCCCCTTATTGGTGCAAAAATCGTTGTGTGAGTGAGTATCAGTAGATTCAGCAGAGAAAGATACAGAAAGAACCGTTTATTAACACTCGTTTTAGAAATTTAAACCTGATTTTCCTTGCATACTTCACAGTGTCGTCACCGTACTACACGGCGAATGAGAACGATCCAAATTTGAGTTTAGTTAACTCATAAGTCCTTTATGCGATAAGTAAATTTGCATCATGTTTTTCCAGGTTTTTACAGGTTTTCCAGATTTGTACAGGTAAAACTTCCCGAATATGAGAAAAGTAAAGATTGGTTCACTCAGTCTGTTACTAGACTGAGTAAAATTTTCGTAAATTTTCTTTATTTTTTGGCAAATTTTTGTAGTTTTCGGGAAAGCATGAGGCAAATTTACTCATCGCTGATTATGAGTGAACTAAACTCAAATTTGGGTCGTTCTCATTCGTCGTGTGGGGGATCCCAGATTGCTGGCATGACTGGGAAATTTGTTTCAAAAATGTATAAAACGGTTTTATTTCCTGTTAGGAGGTGGTTGATATTCAAATAGTTGGCGAATCCGTTCGTATCTGGAGGTTTTCACTTCGCTTGTCCTCGCTAAATTATGGATTTCTTGATAATTTGTATTATGGCATTTTCTATTTTCCACCCCTTTTCCACGAGTATTACTGTTGAAGGTAGAACACATGATGACCATACAGAGTTGTTACTTTAATCTGAGATTTTTTTTTAGGTTTTTCCACAAACAGCATTGGATACGTGTTGTTACCGCAAGATAACTCAGTGCAACCAGTAGAGAGCTTAGAATGGAACAGTTTTCCGGTAATGAGGCAGAAGCGTCAATTCGGGTGAGTTTGATTTAGCAGAAATACGGATCTATGTAGTTCAACAGTAAACTTTAATCTGGTCAATTTTCGGCAGACGGTTCGGCTTCTCTAGTTCCAATGCGAATGCCAATGCATTCAGTCAAGGATTTGGTCCTAATGGATTCGGCAGCAGTGCAGCTAATGCACAAGCTCAGTCATTCGGAAGTAGTGGCCCGTTAGGATCGTTCGGAGCGTCGGCTGCAAACTCAGCATCTCAAGGGTTCAGCCTTGGATCACGTGGTGTGTCGGGATCATCGGCGTTTAGTGGAAGCCAAACTTATAATCTACCAGGGGGACGAGATATATCGTTATCGTACTCGCAAGGAGTATCATTAGGAAAAAATGGGCGTCCGACATACTCCGGAGGACAAGCAATTAGTTTTAATTAGTGCATATAGAAGTTGTAATAAGTGCTTAAAATTTGATAATTTGTTCAGTTGATATTAGAGGTTTAGAACGTGTTTGATGAGACAGATACTTTCCATATTGTTCAAGTTCACAATTGTCGATTCTACATTTCTACGAATTTTATATGAAAATAAATAAAGTATTTATAATTATGCAATAGTGATACCAGCAATTATTTCCAAGGAATCACTGCAAAGGTGACTGACTGATGTGTGGAGCGGATATTTCCAGTGCAGTGCGTCTCTGGGGGATTCCTCTGTTTTGTTGCCTCAAGATTTATTCCTTCCGTAAGCTTGTACGAAAAATTGAAACGAAACCGGCTTAGCTCAAGGCAGCTTTTGTGCTTATGTGCTTAGTCGTGTGCAAAGATGGGGATTCCACACTATCCGTGTTATCAATATCAACCAATCATTCTTTATGTCGTAAGGTTGTTCTTTCCACTATATTCATCATCATATGCATTCATGCGTGCTGTCGCGCGATTAAACATAGATCTTCGTAGGTTGAATTCCGTTCGAAGTCTTCACATATGCTATTATTGCGCATTTCCCACCAAACTGGACAAATAAGCGGGTTTTCACTTATTTAAAAGTGTGTTAAAGTGCACATTTACGTTTGTTTTCTTTGGTGCACTTATTCCTAATGAAGTCAGAAATAAGTGCTCGGAAGACAACATAACGATATGACTGCACTTTTAGCACACATTTTGCATTTTTTTCAGTTCTTGATGTAACCTACAATATATTAATTTACATGTTGTGCTAGTTCGTTTTATTCTTCCTTGCATCGAGTGCCTCATCTGGATGCTGTGTAGATTATATAGGCAAACAGAAATATTGATCGGCGAGTAAAAAAAAAAAAAACAGGAATTCAGGTTTTTACGGAAGAGCAATAATACAATGGATCGCAAAATGGAACTTTAGTGTCGTTTTGACTGTTACTGTGATCGGACGGATTCATCGGAGAGAAAGCAAGACTTGTGTATTCGTGTATTTATAACTTATAATTGAGCATCGAGATAAGGATTAGCTGAAAAAAAATGAAATTGTTTATTTGTGTATTCACGCTTGCAACACTTGTGGCTGCTGGTAGCGCTCACAGTGAAGGTAAAGGTACGTTTGATAGTTTATAATTTTTCTATTATCGAATGTATACATTCAAGAAACCACAGCCAACTTAATTGTTATTTTTCATTTCAAATCTACTGGAAATTGGACTACTGGAAGTACTAAAAACATTCATAAAGACATAATGCATCTCTGGTCTAGACTTTTGATTATTGTAGATGCAATCAATTTTAAAAAAAGGTTGGAAGGCCTATTTTCAAGATTTTATCACATGAATATTCATTAATTGAAATTATATGGTGGTTGTCTGATCATTCTCAACGCATAAATTAGACATAAAAAACAAAAATTACAGCTGAAGTCTGTGCTTAAAGCTGAATAATTACTCGATAATGAATTACATTAAAACACATGTGACACAATTTCTCTCACCTTTTATTGAGATGCTTCGTGGAATCAGTTAGCTTCATTAAGAAACAAAAACACAAATCCAATCAAATCTCAGTTTTAAACGTTTTTAAACTTTATTATAGTGTTATAGTTATAGTTAAACGTTTTGTATGACATTTCGAATATATAATTTTCTGGTAATATTTAAACCTGTTCAATTTTGCCTCCCTTACCTCAGTTGTTAAAAGTGCAGCTATAAAGCAAGACCATGCAGGAGGCGGCTGGGTTCAATTCTAGGTTCGGACCAGGAGTATAGACAAATTTCTATACTTCCCTGTTCGTACAATCATTAGTTCTTGCCACACAATTATGCTAATGGGGAATTTTTAATATTATCTGTAAATTTTGGGCCGAAGGGTTTCGAATATTTATGAAATATGATAATGGTTTTTTCTAACTTTCTTCAACCGTGAAAATTTTTTGGAATTTTATTTTCAGATTTTATTTTTTATGTATTGTTGCAATAATTTCCTTATTTCATGAGTTTAAATGTACAAAGTACGTGATGTCCGGGAAAATTTTCCGGTAAAATTAATTACCCCACATTTTTTTATTGTTTTCGTTCATATAGTCTAGCTGTGTCCAATAATAAAAAAAGAAATCTCCTGTTGCAAACATGGTACAGGCTTAGAAAGCTCTCAATTAACAACGGTGAAAGTGCTCAAAGAACACTAAGTTGCCGGCGCAAAGTCTTAGTAAGGACGTAATAAAGTCATAGAAGAAGATCCTAATCGAAACTATGATTTTTCCTCCAAAAAATTGCAAATAACTTAACAACGAACATAAACGGTGACTCTCCAGCAAATTTGTTCGTCATCAAATTTTAAATTTTTTAGATGTAATAAGGGCAGCCCTAAGTTTGCACCTTTAGAATTGATAAAACGATCCATAAAATATTGAAAAACGTTCCATTAAAAACATCCAAATGATCCATAAAACATCGGAGAAAATCCCTAAAAAAGTGTGGATGATCCATAAAAAATATCAATATTATCAATATTTTATGTGAAATTTAGCAACACAATTGTAAAAATGTACCACTAAATTTCTAAATAATAAGCATTGTAATTGTACGAATTACCCATAAACATATTGCAATTGATCCATAAAACATTCAGCAATGAACCTTAAACTAAAGAAAGTTCACCATAAAAAATCTAGTTTGCACACTTAAAAATATAGGCATGATCCATAAATTAGACGTATATAATTCATGTTTAGAACACTATTTTTTTAAATTTTGATCCATAAACCTTGAAAAATTGCTCCACTGCTTATCTACTTAGATTTACTGTCCTGCCCGTGTATTTAAGGTAGATGTGCGAAGCGACGGGCAAGCGTCTAGAATTAGCTTCCAAAAGAAGATTCTATAATAATATTCTTAAGACGTTTCCTATGGAAGCTTCATTTAGAAACTTTTTAAGAAGCTTATTCTAGACGCTCGCCCATCGTTCTGCTCTTCTGACAAAAAAAAAACACGGGCAGAAGAGTAAATCTGAGTAGCTACGCAGTAATGTAGCAATTTTCCAAGGTTTATTGATCAAATTAAAAAAAAAAAGTATATAGACCGAGATATAGACTATAATTGGAACACACCAAAATAAGCACGTCTACCAACAACTGGAACACCTACCCTAGGTATGATTTATAAAATTAACATTTTTTTTTCATTTTTTCTTAAGAAGATTATTATAGAAGCTTCTTTTGGAAGCTAATTCTAGACGCTTGATCATCGCTCATCTACCTAAAAACACGGCAGGACAGTAAATCTAAGTAGTTAAGCAGTAATGGAGCAATTTTTCATGGTTTATGGATCTAAATTAATAATACAGGGTCCAAAACGTGAATAATATACGTCTAATTTATGGATCATGGCTGTTCGGAATATCGGGATAACCCTGTACCGCCAAGTCCAGTGACAACCCTGTGGGGGATTCAGAGAGCTACGGTAACGGTCGCTGTCAGAAATGACAGACGTCAGGTTTGGTTCAACGGAACTGTGAACTCACAGTTCCGTTGAACCAAACCTTAGATAGGTCGGAGTATGAACGAGAAAAAAGAGGAAAAGAAGATACAATTCCAAACCATTTAAAAAACGTTTTACAGCTAAATTATTTTAATTGCCTAAATTTGTTAACATACCTATCGTTTAATTAAATTGTAGTTATTTGTAGTGAACAACAATCAATACGCAACTAACGATTTTAAATTGGCTCACTACTTGACTTGCCTATTGGTCCCAAGCAAATCGATTAACGTACCTCATTTTAGTCAAAATTATAGTACTACACAATGTTTGTTTTGATTCGCTATGAAAGTTTGACAGGTAAAATGTGGGGTTCGTGGATTTTCTCGTGTTTTATAGGGGTGCATCGAGGAGCTTGGGACCGAAGATAGTACCAGAGCTTAGCCAAAAAGTTGAGCACATTATTCGGGACCTTCTGGTCTTAAAATTACCTCTATGTAGCTACTGAAGTAGGTTAGTTGGAGGTGGAATGCGTGCAAATATTGAATTTAATAACCCTATATTTGCTTAATCTAGATACTACAGTTTGATCCTAAAATCTGGTAACCTACAATTTGTTCCTAAACGCTATCTACATGATTTACCCTAAGTAACTAGTAAGTAGCTCATTCTACATCGTTTGCGTGCTTAACTAAAATAATAATTGAATTCCTAAATGCTAAATCTAGCCAAATCTTTGTTGAAAGAGTGACGAAAGATAACTCTCGGTTTGAAAATCTCCCGCTCAGCCTCCTATCTCTTTTCATGGAGGAATTTCTCTTCCTCCAGCGCTTTCTTATTTGCGCATTTCTCCTGCAGCAACTGGTCTAGGGATTCTTCCAGGCTGACCACATTGGTACTTCCTTTTCCAGATTCGGTTGCGGCATCACTCCTCACTCTATTATTTCTGGTAGGTGGTTTATTTGAGACAGACTTCTTGCCACCTTATAAGCATTAAGATTGGTTTTGATTTTATATTAGTTTAATAGAACCTATTTCAGCTTCAAACTGTCTAAAACGAGACTGCTCTGAGGAAGTTGCTTTCATTAATACGAACATGGCTATATTTTTAAGTGCGCAAACATGATTTTCTATGAATCACTTTCTTTAGTTTAAGGTTCACTGCTGAATGTATTATGGATCAATTGCAATATGTTTATGGGTAATTCGTACAATTTCAATGCTCATTCCTTAGAAATTTAGCGGTACATTTTTACAATTGTGTTGCTAAATTTTACATTAAATATGGATCATATTGATATTTTTTATGGATCATTCACACTTTTTTAAGGATTTTCGCCGAAGTTTTATGGAACATTTGGATGTTTTTTATGGAACGTTTTCCAATATTTTATGGATCTTTATTGGTTTTTATGTTCAAAAGTATGTTTGCCTGTAATAAGTCTTATTTTGATGCTCTATTTTGATGGTTGAATGTCACTATGCACCAAAGAAATCGTCAGTTCGGAGAATTGTCAAAAATATCATAATAAATTCAAGCATCTAGCTGTTTAGACCTCAAAGAATATGTAAACATAAATGGCTAGGTTACAGGTCGATTCTTTAGAAATATTTTTTTCAGGAATGACTATGAAAAATGGACTCTTATATGGATTCCATCTCAAGTGACCGAGCAATTGCATCATCCCTCTCTGATTTGAACCAAAACTGGCAGATCTTATTATTTTATAAAAAAAAAATTGCCAATCGGCCTACGCCCGGCTGCCCCCTTTTCCACCAATTTTAAATAAACATAAATTTTAATTTTTACATAGAACCAATAAACCAATAAATATGAAGTCAAAAATCAAATTTCAAAGAAATTTTGTAATTTTTATGTAAGTAAGTAAGTCTGTTTCCTCAAATGTATTGCATCTAGAAAATCATGTTGTAACGGGTAAATAAAAATATGCATTTTGGAAAAACTTCATTGCAAGAACTGCCATTACATTTGTTGTATGAAACATTTGTAATAAATTCAACCTTACATTGGATGTAAAATAAATTTGTTGACAGGTTTTACAAGTCAAACACATACTTTGCAACGTGGTCTTGTAGCTTACAAAAACATCCAATGTTTTCATAATTCCGAAAAACATTTTTTCGGGTGAAATGAGTTTCATTTATAATCTTCATGCATTTGACCAAATCAAGTAATTCCAGGGAAAATCATGCCATGAACTGAAATAACATTATTATTGTTTTTAAAGATCGATAACGTACTTGAAACCAGCATCTTAAGCCCAGTGACGTGAGACAAACAAACACGCACGCACTGCTGTTAATATGTCAACTTTTTTGACTCAGAGTTAACGAAACCGGTTCAGCCAGCATCCGGATGGGTTTTACCAGTTGCGTCTTTAATTTGATGCTATATGTTTCACACGCGCAGGCAGCTTCATTATAACAGCGTTATTAGACTGATGCAAATTTTGAAATTTTTTCCCCAAAGTACTCAAACTGGTTTTGAATCATTCTATAAAAAATTGAACTAATTTCGTTGAAAACTGGATTTCTCCAATAACGTTCATGCCTTTCTCCATATTTCCCTGATTGAATGCACTGTGTAGATGTTTTCTCAGCTACACATTTTCTGAAGACCAGCTTTCTGCCAAACTACAATAGAAATACATATTTATTAAATACAGAGAAGATTGGTAATCTTCAAACATAATATAGCAGCTGCATTTCGGGAAACACTGTGGCATTAGTAGTCATGATTGTAATACGGTTAAAAGCTAGAAGTTTGATTTTTTCATAGTTATTTTAATGTAAACTGCAAATGGTTTGTGCGGAGCCAGTTTCTAAGCAAATGAGTTCAAATTTTGGGAGGACCATCAGAACCCTATTTGGAACCGTTTAAGCACTGTGGAGCGAGTATGTAAAAGTTTGCAACAGCCTAATCGGTGTACATCCATTGGGAATTTCCTTCCGCTTGATCTTTTGGTGCAAAATTTCAATCGTTTGTGTGCGTCATCGACGACGCGTTCATCTGCCAAAACAGGTTATCGGCGACAATCCGGCAGTGATATAAAAATAATATTAAACTCTAATTCTCTCCAAAAAGACTCCCAGTGGCATCTGGAAATATACATTTGGCTAATTCCCATAAAGCAGCGCCGGATCGGTACGAGGGGTGCACTTTTATGGCATATATAAAAATTTGCATATCAACAATTAAGAAACCCCGTTGTGGCGTCAACGATCTTTACGTTTGAATTATTCAATTTACCAACTATTGCAGATGCAGCAACGCAAGACAAAGCGGACACAGCGACGTATGAAGAGATCCTTGTGGAATCATCGCTCAACGTGCGCAAGACTAATCCATCTTCGAGGAGGCACGTGAGAAGCGTCGTGGACCTTTTGGTTCCAAACAACGCGCGAGTGAAGCGTCAATTTGGGTAAGTGAATAGTCTACGTATTGATTTAACGCATTCCTAGGACTTCAAATGCAAATCATATATCATATATTCGTGGGTTTTAGAATAAAAAAAAACTAAATATGTCATATTTCTAGTGTACTTTGTGTGTGATATTTAACCCTAGTATCAACAAGCAATCGCAAGCTACACGGGAAAAAATCCGATTCCATTTTCATGAATAAAAAATCATGAAATGAAAAAACTTGCCATCCCATGAAATCGTAACAATGATTCATGATTTCGTCATGGAAATTCATGATTTCATAATGCAGTTGAATCAAGACCGCTACAAGCGTTACACGTACTTGGCAAACCGTCTTCATAAACCGCACTACATAGATATCTGTTATACGCCCTTTATTCTTCCAACTTGTACAAGTACTGATAGTCTAGTGGTAAAAGTATGGGTTTAGTGATTTCAAGGTTCTTGGTTCGAATCCAGTCTGATGCTTTATTTTATTCTTTTTGCATTTTTTGGTTAAAAGTTAAACCCATGAATTTAGCTCATGATTTCAACTCGGATGATTCATGATTTTGGGAATATTTGCTGCGTTACGCAAAAGTTGCTCATGATATCATGAATATTATTCATGGTGTATTTTCATAACATGAAAATACGCTGTGTTCATGAAATCATGAGTCATTTTTCTCATTTCGGAGATCATATTTTTTCCCGTGTAGCAACTTTCTCCACCATACAATTAGCATGTACAATTAGCATGTTTGAAATCTTATTCAAGGTAAAAGCATTTGCGTTTTTCCTATTGTATCAATCTCGGGACGTGCACTACTGCCCAATTCTGGAGAGGGGAAGGGCAAGGGGATGGCAAACTCGCCATATTTAGCTTAATCTTAGCCCAATAATAACCGTGTTTATCAATTTAGGGTGTTCCAAAGGCCCTAAAACAGCACTTCAATGGACAAAATAACTAACGGGGTCAGTATAACAGTTGTTTGCACCACTGCTGCCCACGCTATTGTAAAGGCTCTGCCAGTGGATTTTTTTACAATGCTATCAAAATCTAACCACATGTTACGACTTTAATTAGAGCTGTGGAGTCGGATCTAAATTAACTAACGCCGACTCTGATTCCGACTCATGGGATTTGAAAATAACCGACTCCGACTCCGATTCTATTAAAATTTACTTTAATAAACTTAATTTTATTAAAAGGTGCTAAGAAAATCCAGCATATACTAATTTTATGTGCTGGAAATTATCCAGTACTAAACCATACAGCATGCATCTGAAAATATGGCATTCTTAAAACCTACACTGGTAATTTAAAAAGAAGTTGGCACCATTTAAAATGAACTTTTTCCCACTCATGTCATGCATATACCGGTAAAAACATTATTTAATAGGTCTCTAAAACCCGCCATCTTGGAAAAAAAGACTTGATGCATATTTCAAAATATTGCACAATGAGGTACAGGACTGAAAATTTAAAATGCTTCTATCGCTCAAATGTTTTTTTTTTCAAAAAATTCTACGGCGGAGAAAAACTCAAGGGCTACCCAACAGACATATTATATTAAATATTCGAAGTTTTTCAAAATATTTGATGAAAGTTGTTCAAATTGGTAGATTTCGACTATTCTTCCCCCACAGCAACTCAATAAAAATTAAAAATACATCATTTGAACATTATAAGCCAAGGCTGCAAATACTCGTTTCAGTTAAATCAATGTTTTTTTGAATTATTAAATAACTAGATCATATTTTGCATTGGTAAGATACATGAAGAGGTTGCAAATAATATGTTTGACACATTAAACCTGTTTATTTCACTTCATGAGAGTCATAATTAGCGATTTTTCACTGACCCACTCACTCACTCACTCACTCATTCAACGATCAGCAAATAGCTGATTGGGACTAATAGAAAGCAAAATTGACAGCTTAAACGTGTCAAACACATACATTTGTTTTAGCTGAAATGAGTATTTGCAACCATGCTATAAGCATTTTAAAACATTTCTCCCATACGTTGCCATGCAAAATTTTGAAATCTGCTTCATTAATCCTTTTTTCAAGATATCGGATTTCGGAGGCTATATCTTTGCACTAAGCTGATTTTAATTTTCAACTAAAATCGTCAGCACTTCTAACGAATCCGGTCAAAAAGATAAATGGATAATTGTTTGAATACAAACATATACAATTTCTATCAACATTGATAACAACGCAGTCGCAATTCATAACGAAAGTAGGTAGTCAAAGCAACAAAACATCAGATTTTTCAACGAAAACGTTAACGTTTAATTTAAACGAAATTTGCTCAAACTTTTTATGAAATTGGTCACAATTTTTACAAGACATTAGAAATTTAAATAAAAATGGACACACCGTTTGTACGCACTGGTCAGCTATTTCTAATTAAATTAATCATGTTTTTCATTTTATAAAATCTGGCTGCAACGGTCAATAAAGAGATTGATCGATTTCAAAAACACGCCATGGTTTAATAAAAGTGTCATTCATTTATAGAATTGATCGATATCGTTAAAATTTGGCCACTATTTGGAACGAAACTGAGCACATTTTTTTTCTAATGAAAATGGCTAAAATCTTTTAAATTAAGATTAAATTGGTAGCAAGTTAGCATGGAACCCTTCCCAACCTTTAACCACTCTCAATGCAAATTTACAATACTTTTGAAGAAACTAATCACATCTTCCAAATCAAAAGTTTCTGTTGTTCAGAGATGGGTAGCCACCATACTAGTAAAGGTATGTGGTTCTATGTGGCCTTACATGTGGTTGCACTTAACGGAGAGATCCAATTTTGTTAGCTATCTGAATTTAACATTCTGCTTGAATAGTTCAAACTTGTACTGGGACCCATTATTCTAGCTTTAGATATTTTTCATAACATCCGGAGTCGGAGTCGGAGTCGGAGTTGGTACTTCTTTTTTTAAGACTCTGACTCCGACTACACATGCTCAAAATTTCATCCGACTCCGACTCTGACTCCACAGCCTTGACTTTAATAATAAAAAAAAATCGGCATTCGCAAAACCAAAGAGGGGACTTTTCCTGCCATGGCTGAAAGTCTCCTTAATAGTGAAACATCATCAAAAAAATTCCTGTAATTTTGACATTATTATTTGAATTTTTGTTCGGTTATTTTTCCATACAGAAAGACTCAGAAAAAAGTGACCCATAGAAATAAACGTTCAAATTAACTCATATTTTTTATGGAAAATTGCACCCATGAAACATTTCAGTAATAGTGTCTAAATGACGGGAAATGTTTCCTCTATCGAATGGTGAAGGTTTCATCAATGCTGATTTTTTTTTGTTTTAATGATATTCTCACCGTGATTATGTTTCTTCAAGTTAAAGTGTAGAAAAAGGAGTGTACAGAAGATACCAAACTTCTGAAAGTACTGCGACTTTTGATTTGCTAAATTCCCACCCTGGACCACTGTGGGTTTGCAATCAATGACGAAAATCAAGAAATGCATAAAAAGGGCGGTAATAAAAAATGTGACAAGTTTTTTTTTAATTCATTTATTTGGAAGGTTCAATCGCGTTAGCTTTATGGAGCCGATATTTCAATGTATGTAGTTTAACAATAATGACTTAATACTACATCTATTAGAGATGGTCGTTTTACTCGAGGTTAGTAATAATTTGTGTAATTTGAGAATGCAAACAAAATTCATTTCCCTCTTATTAAAACTAGGGTACGGATAAAACTTGTCTGCAACAAGCTCGTCATAAAACTTAAAACTATTATTTTTAGTTAAATGTTAAACGATGTTAAATGTCTGCTCTTTTGGTGTTTGAACTTGTCCTTCTTAATGTAAAAGAAAGTTGTACCCTTTTCGTATAGCGCAAAACGCATTACGATATAAAACTAAAACTAGCTCTGATAAAAATACCAATCGCTGGATCGAAACGTTGGCGATGATAAAATTGTAATCAGCACACAAAAGCTATGCAAATTACTAATTCAAGTGTAGCTATTCAAATCGGCGTATCTGATTTTGTAAACAATCGCTTCAATCGACGATTTGTAGCAACTGCTAGCTTACTCACAGTAAGTAACAACACCAGCTAGTTGGGGAGAGATTCCTCTACCTGATGATGGTGTTTGTTTGTGGGGGTGAGTTAGCAGTTAAGACAAATTGTCAATTGAAGTAATTGTTTACAAAAGCAGATACGTCGATTTGAATAGTTACGCTTGAATTGTTCAAGGCATTTAAAGTTCTCTGATTTACTTTTCAGAAGCTTTTGGCACTTCCCTGAAGTTATTGGAACTGCCCTAAACATTTCTGAACTTCAATAAATCTCTAGAAAATTTTAGGAATTTCTTAGAATTTTTAAAAGTATCCGCAATTTTTTGATAGAGTGGCCTTGAAGTTATTTTTCCCTAAAGTTTTCGAAACTTCTTTGAAGCTCATGGAACTTCCCTTAATTCTCTAAGTTTCTCTGAATCGCATAAAGTTTTCGTTTTTTCACGAAGTTTCCTAAATTCTCATTAGTCCTCTTTGATGGAAATTTTCCTGATATTCTTGGCCTGCCCTGAAAACTACACCATTTAACTATTTTTTAGCAACATTCTTGACATCCTTGGATTTTTGATAATTCCTCGGGTCATCTCGAACTGCTCTGAAGTTCTCTGATCTTCCATGTAGTGCTAAGAACATCCCTATAAAAAATGAAACTGCCTAAAAATCTCAACATTTCTCTGAAGTTCTTTGGACATTCTTGAAGTTAATTGAACTGCGTTGAGGATTTCTGATTTTCCCTGATTCTTCTGAAGCTATTGGAACTACCCAGAATTAAATAAAATTTTCCTAAAAATCATAAAATTTCCTTGAAAATCTCTTTCCTGAAATTTACGGAACTGTTTTCTTTTTAATTTCTCGAAAGTCTGGACTAAAACTTAGTTATTGACATTGCCTTATTGGCATTGCCTGAGCTCCTCCGAAGATCAATAAACCTTATTTCCCTGACGTTCTTGGAAGTATCCATTATTTTCCTTAATTTCTCTGAACTTCTTTGAAGTTTTATTAACATCTTGAAGTTTTCTGGATATTCCGGAAGATCTTAGAACTTCTTCAAAGTTCCTGAAACTTCTCTGAAGCTTTTGTATTGCCCTTGAAACGCTCAATACTTCCCTGGAATTCCCAAAATTGTATAGGCGTTCGTGAAACTTCCCGTATTAACCTGTTCATGAAGGTTCCCTGAAAACCTCGATATTTTCCTTCCAAACTTCTTTATAGTTCCTAACATTTTTGGGGACTACCCTGATGTTGTTGAACATTCATGAAGCTTATTTACTCGTCTAATGATGTCCCTGGAATTAATAAAACTGCCTAGAAGATCTCTAAACTTCTCTAAAGTTCCCTCCTGTTCCGTGATTTTTTCTAAGTTTCTGTGATGTTTCCAATTTTTTTCTCAAATCTAAACATGAAAGTTGTCGATATTTTGTTGAATTGGAAATGACTTTAATTTTATCGTTAATCGAATGGCCCTAAAGTTCTCAAAACTTTCCTTGAGTTTCGGAACTATTCTCAACGCTCTGTGACCTTTTCTAAGTTACCTGATTTGTTCTGGAGTTTCTTGTAGTTCTTATAAAGTACCCGCAATTGTTTTTAAATAAGTCATGAAGTTATTTGATATTCCTCTTGCTTCATCTAAATTCACGAAATTTTCGTGAAGTTCATGGAACTGCAGTGAAGTTCTCAAAACATACTTTTAAAGATTTTAAACTTTCCTGAAGGTTCTGCACTTTCATGATTAAATTAGTGGTAGTGACGACTGGGACTGGAATATTGCTTGTTCAAACGGCTTTCTCAATAATAACCCTTGAAAAAGGCCAAATCCCATGTCCAAAACGTCTGGTTAATGTATTGTATGTATTGGAATCGTTAGAGTGAATTTATGACCGAGAAAACCGTATTAACAAGCAAGTTCTGAACTTTCTTGTAATTTACGGAACCTGCCTGATGTTTGTGAAACTTCTCTGAATATTTCAGATATTACATAAAGTTCTTGAAATATCCTTGAAATTTTCGGTTCCTTCCTGAAGTTTTATAAATGTCTATAAAGAGCTCTTAACTTCCCTGTTTTTTTAGAACTTCCCTGACTCCCATAAAGTTTTTCAATATACATTTTTTTGACAGAATTTTATTCTAATGTTTATTTTTTCACATAACTACTTCTGAAAGTTATCAGTTGTCCAAAGAGTAAAGTTCAAATGCTTTATTAAAAAAAAAAAAAAAAGGTCAAGAAATTATTCATGATTTCAGGAAGTCCACATCCGTGCAGATTGTCTGATAGAATTTAAATGGAAATTGAATCACAAGCCCCAAGCCCCAAAGTCTATTGCTCCGTGTGCATTTGTTCTTTTACTCTTCGAAATCCGTAACTGTGTATTGGATAACAAATTATTTGATTCGACCTAATGACTGAGTCTTCGAAGGATCATTTTCTCCAGCAATGCACGAAAACATAGCAATCAGGCGCTGGTTTGCCAAGATTTTGAATGGCTATTATCTGTCTCTATTTAGACGGTATGATTTTTTTAGACGCATCCATGGGATATCACACGGATGGGCATTCTGCATAGTGTTTGGCATTCTGCATAGTGCAATAATAGAGCAAATGCAGCATTTTCGTAAGATACAAGACATAATCTAGATAATCATATAAATAGATAGTATGGATAATGTCAAATAAAACTCGTGCTCTAAAACGCTAGTAATCAAAAATCATTCACCTCGATTATATAGTCGTCACAAGCTTTTTATCTGTATCTAAGCTTCACTCCAGTGGCGAGTTCAAGTGCAACGGTTTCTATCTCAATTGAAACACGCGCTGTCTCCCAGTTCCATCATTTTCAACACTCATTTAGCATTCCGGTGGACGTGTGATTAAGACTGATCAAATTCGAAGCAGCGCCAGGCACGCTTTTATTGTAGATTTGACCCTGAAGCTTTGAAGATCGTTTGATTTCGCTTGAATGTACTTCCAGTGGCTGATCAGAGGAGCATAGAGATTATCTATCTCGTATAGCCAATTTCTTTGCACGATCTAGAGAGACGAGGCAAGTTTTTAACGCTCATTAACATGATTGAGCGAACGCGAGCAGAATTTGCGATGCTTTCCGGTGGACAAATTAAATACGAAACGAGCATCCACTCCTAATGGAGTGGTTAGGATGCTTTGGATAATGCGAAATCGCCGGAAAGCTGATCAAATTAGGACTCATAAAATTTGTGGTACGCGCCACCGGGTTAAAATCGATTACCAGACTGATAGCAATATAACTATAGATTTCATCTTCCTTCTCTGATTTCCTTGCAGTGGTGATTTTGGAGCATCTAGCGCGCAGGCAAATGCTAATGCTTTCAACCAGCAGTTTGGTCCAAATGGTTTTGGAGCAAGTGCAGCCAACGCGGGTGCACAGTCGTTTTTCAACCAGGGACCAGGAGGTGGTTTTGGGGCCTCGGCAGCCAACTCTGCGTCACAAGGGTTCCAAGCAGGCCCTAATGGAATCACGGTATGCGCAAAATAATGGTTGTAGTTTTTAACCGATAATAAGGATCATAATATTCATTACAGGGTTCCGCTGGACAGTCTGGAAGCCAGTCGTATAATCTTCCTGGGAACCGTGAAATAAGTCTGTCATACACCGGTGGATTCTCTGTTGCCGATGGTAAACCAAGTGTATCGCAAGGAAACTCTATCAGTTTCACCGGATAATCAGTGTTCGACAAGGCAAACGTTGGATGAATTTTAAACATTGGAGAACGTGTCAAAATATATGTCGAAAGTAAAAACCTAAGAGAGGCCTGGTTGTCATTTTTTTGTCCAAATCTTCTGGTACTTTCTTTCTGGATTATAACGTTACTACAGGAACTTTTGTTTGCTCTAAGTATAGTGTTATTTTGAGCGCTTCCGGAGTTATCAATTGAATGAGTTTTTATGTTAACAATTGCATGATTATTGTGCATTATGGATACCCTAGGCCCATGGAGCTCGAGACTGGACCGGTAGTTGATATCACACCGTCGCATGAAGTGCTTTATAAACCGATCTGTTTTCGCATGTGACTAACATTAAGGCCCCAAATCTTTTGTTTTTGAAATGCCCACCTGTAAACCTGTAAAGCAGCTGGATTTCGCAGGAATGTGTGCAAATATTTGCACCATTATCTACCCCTGCATGTTCTCAATGGTTTCTGGATTAAATTGATATAGTCTAATTGTGCTGTGATTATTATTCAGAAAGTGTTGCCGTAGGCATGTCCCCTCAGTAGCTGTGGCTGTGGTGATTTGAATAATTGAACAATTTTGCGATTTTCCATTTTGATTAGTTCAGCTTTTCGCAAATTTTATCATTGGCTTAGTCTACTCAACTCTTCGGGAGGGTTTTGGAATTAGTCTGCAAGTATATTGTTTAAAATTTGAATAATGTTATGAATTTTTAACTCAGAAATTCAGAAATTTTATTAAAAATATAGCTTTGTGGAGATGTGCTTATTAAATACCTATAAAATCTGATTAAATCCGAGACAAGATTGATTTTTTTTCCAATATGTAGCAGTAGTACCGTATTGGAAAGTTGGCCTCTTTTAAATAGAGAGTTACTAACCGGCATTGAAACGCCGGGCAAAATTTATCGTTTATTCAAAACTTGGGTTTCCATATTTCTCGGGAATCAGCTTCCCGGGATTCAGAAAATGAAAAATCTATTTCTCAGGAATAAGAAAAAGAATTGCGGGAAGGCGAGTTCAGTTTTGCAGCAACAAATTTCAGATATGGAGATGACACGTTCAGATTCAGTTGAAGTCGGCTGAATTGTCTTGATATCATAAAATAACACAAGATTCTTTGTGTAACAGCGTAAGTTCTATCTGTATTACTGTATTAAGTTGTTTTTAGAAGTAGGTTTAGTATAGATAATTCCCTATAAATAGCCATAATACTAGAATGATACAATTTATATTGAACGAACAGGCAATAAGCCAATGATGTCTTTAAAAAAAAATATGCATTAAGGGGGGAAACACCTGTTGAGATCTCTAACAAAAGGGTATTGTAAACTGTAAATGTAAGTAAAAATCAAATAAGCATAAAGCATTTAGTAAAAAAAGTAACAAATCAATTATTGCAGTTTTAGCTGTGTGAAAATAAACACTGCTGCGAAAATTTGTTTCGTCATTAGGCTGGTCTGAACAAGCATGTACACCCTAATTGCGAATCAGTCCGGAAATGCACCCAAAAACGGTTTTGTTCCTTTTTTTCAAATTGAAAATTTGGAATTTGTAATTCAAATTGATTTACTTTTCAACGATCAATTTTTTGTTATATTTTTTTTTATATTAAAGACATGAAGAAATCAGCACTGCTGTAGTTAAGGGTAGTCCATTGTTAATCAGGGCTATAAACGAAATATAACCCAATCGTTAGCATTATTCCAAAAATATGTACCGTATGCGTGATAATGTTTGCACCATTGAGCAATGTCAAAACTAAAAAATTTCTCAAAAATTTAGTTTTCAAGTTTTTTTTATTTATTTAAAGGGGGATGTTTTCAGAGTCTTAAACTATGTTAATCATCGATCGAGTTTCCACTTGCTGCAATAACGGCCTCCACACGCTTCCGGAATGCACGGCAGGTTCTAATAATGTACACACTTAGAAATACCTAATTTTACACCTGACGGAATCCATCTTTGACATAAAGGATGAGACGTAAACAAACATGTAATGTAAAATTAAGTGCTCCGAGACTGAAAAGTTCGTTACTAGACGAAAAGTATGTTTGATTGAGCTGAATTTCGTGTCTATTATGACTCAATTTTGTCTCATAATTGACGCTCGCATATGTCAGTCTCAGAGCACCTAAATTTACATGAATTTTTCTAAGTGTGTAGTCTAGATCCATTTCTCTGCAGGTACTGGTAAATGTTTGTCTGAGGCTTGCTGTACTTGGGTGGCGTTTAGAACAGGCCTTGGCCTTCATGACGCGCCATATTGAGTAATCCAGCGAATTAAGATCAGGGCTGGATGGCGGCCACATATCCTTCGCCCAGAACGGAAGATGTTCCTGCAACCGCTTCTGAGTGCGGTTCGAGGTGTGGCACGGAGCCTCATCTTGTTGAAATACAACATTTGGCTTCGGACCGTACTGTTCTTTGATCCACGGAAGAACATACTTACTTGAAATCCCGATGTAGACCTCCGTGTTGACCTTGTCGCCTTCTGGAATGAACACCGGGTCCATTTTTTGCCATCGGAAGCCACCAATCCAAACACCATAACGCTAGCAGGATGCTTGATCAGATACACGTTCTTGTGTTCGTCGGCCACGTCTTTTACCGGAAGAGAACTAATATACCGGTCGGTTCTGTCACACATTTGCTTTTCTACATCTTCTTCAGTAGCAAGAATTACTTTTTCACTCTCCTTGATAAATTCAAGTATGAATGGCCTGCAGAATCGAACACTTTGAGGCATAGGATTGAACCATAAAATATCCTTTCAAATGTTGTACATGAACAACTGAATTGGTGGAAAGGTTGATGAGAATATATCTCAATCATCCTGACATCCTTCTGGTAGCGCTTGATTATACAGATTAAACGGGCGGTGTAGTAAAATTATTTACAGATTATACAGATGGTGTATTAAAAGTTTATTGAAACTAAATATTAAAAAATGTAATCTTATAACGTACAGTAGAAAACCAAACAAACAAAATCTTTGTATTACATTAGGTAATGAAAATGTTCAAAAATGTGAAAATGTAAGAGATTTAGGTGTTATTCTAGATTCTAAATTGACATTTGTGGACCATTATAACACAATAATACATAGAGCAGGCAATATGCTTAATTTTAAAACGTTTCGGTCTCCACTTTAAAGATCCTTATACAATAAAATCTCTTTTCGTTTAGATAGTTGAAGATGCTAATTTCAAATAACAGACTAAAGTGGTAATTTTTATACGATAGATGGAGGAGATGAAAGTCTAGAGTTGATAGTGGATGGGAGCATACCATCAATTACTGTCATTGGTCGAAAGGTACAGTAGCAGCACCTACCCCACCCGTGTCCCTTCGAGATCATCAAGTCGACGATGACAGGAGCACATACCGTGGTAGGGGTAAACAATATCTGCAATTTCCAAACCTACGACTGGATGCCTTCCTTCAAATAACAACTGAAGTGCGGTAAAAATCGGTAGAACTGTTTCAAACACATCCTTGGTACTTGAGCGGGTCGGCGTTCATCTCTTTTTGCCAGTGGTGGCGGGGAGGGGAGGGGGGTCACCACTCACCATCCCTCTCCAAAGGGGGAGTTTGGTAAAGAGAGATGAAAAAACCGATTTGTACCTTCCTTAAAAGTTGTCCTAGCTCGCTATCTACTTTCTATATGCAATTTTCACACTACCGTACTCTAACGGAACTATCAACTCTAGACTTTCATCTCCTCCATGTATCGTATAAAAATTACGACTTTAGTCTGTTATTTGAAATTAGCATCTTCAACTATGCAAATAGTTGACTTCACGCAGAAGTAATACTAAACATATAGTCAAAGCACTTTTCGTTGCTTATGTGAGGTCAATTTTAGAATATTGTAGCGTTGTTTGGTCACCCTATATGAAAAAAGCATAAAGAACGAATAGAGTCAATCCAAAAGCAATTTTTATTATATGCACCTACGTAAGTTAGGTTGGACGGCTTTTCCTCTCCCGTCATATGAAGCACGTTTGTTTGCTGATCAGCATTCAAACATTGAAAGAACGTTGGGATTACGCAAAGATTTCTTTATTATACAATATCATTTCGCAACGCATTTTTTTTTCCTTTGGTTTGTTTTTTCCGTCGATCTAGTTTTCCGTGCTTAGCACCAATGCTACCGACGAGCCAGGAAGGCAGCTCCCACACCTGGACCCTACCTATCGACCCATCAACTCATGAACCGGGGACCAAAGGCTTTACTTCCCATCCGAAGGAAGGCGTGATCAGAGATGTTATGCCTCAGAACACCCCGGCGGCGCCGACTGGGATTGAACCCAGGCCTGCTGGGGTGCGAGGTAATCACGCTTACCACTACACCACCGGCGCCGTTACAGCTGATCTATTGTCAAGGTTAAATTTGTATGCACCTTCCCGACAAATACGCAATCGACACTTGTTCGCAGTAGACCGCCATCGAAATATTTACGCTAAATTTGAACCGGTAGATCAGATGATGACTGTTTATAATCATCATTGTAAAATGATTGACCTAAATATGCCCTCAACAGAATTAAAAATATATTTCAGAACCCTGCGAAGTCATAGAACATAAGTCCTAATGTTAATATGTAGTCTACGATTTGATTGATCGACGAATAAATAAATCGAATAGAAATAATGCGAATATCCAGTTGATCCGTCCATACCCCAGGAACATACTTCTGTAGACTAAAAACTTCTTCTTCTGACATAATTCATCGTTGATCAGGTAATTGAACTTGTTTTAGAACTATTTTGGGTTTTCAAAATATATCATTTGTGTGTGTCTTTATTAGAGAGATTTTTAGTCGTTGGCTAGTTCATCTCTAGAACTAGAACTAGAATATTTTTTTTTCAAAATATGCCCAATAACTTTAACTAGATGCAGATCCTTTCGGTCATAAGCGGTCCGTCTTGATAATAACAATGCTATTTCGACGGTTTCGATTAATGATCAACTGCTTCATTATCGATGATACGACGTTTTCCACTTTCGCTCAAATCCGAGAAAGGGTTTGAAGGTCTTTCACGTTTTGTTCCTGAGGCCGAGGTTGATGCAACGCATTGCTCCTGTTCGATGCATTATCCGATGTCAATCTCCAAAATGTGTCTCAAATTGTTGCTTAATACTATTAACTTCAAGCCACTTTTGTTTGTATTTAGTGGCGAGTATATGAATCTTGTGATTCAGACGTTTCTGTTTCTCCACCGAAATTTTAAAGTTTACACAAATGAATGTTAATGCACATTTTCATTATGCGTTAATTTTGCATAAAAAAAATAAGAATGGCTCTATTATACATATATATATACTTGGACTTGAAAGTAGATCATAGCTTTTGCATTGAGCAGCAGCATTAATACGAGGTTAGGTATATATGATAAGTATATATGACTGAAAGTTGCCTACTATAATGTACATGAATTAGATACTATCTAAAGAGTAATTCCGGTACAAATTTAACTAAGGGTAGCCGTTACTAACACCACACAGCGATCTTCAAAGAAAAATGTTCTGCAATAAGCATAGTTAACTAAAATAGATAAGCCTTTTTCAAAAGTTGGTCATAACATTTTCAAAAAAATGTTTATAAGCAACATATTTTGATTATCCCAGCCATGACATGACATTAAAACTCCCATAGTGTCCACAAAATTTCAATTTCCATTATTTCCAAAATATGCAAGTTTGTGCAACTGATCTCTTCAGTTCTTGTTAGGGTATACTCAAAACATTCACCACAGCTGAAAATTAGCCTGGAAATGTGCAGAAATCTAAAGTACTAGATTAACAAAGTTAAAATTTCTTTTTTTTAATTTTGTGCGTGTTTTTCTTTTAATTTGTTAATATTTTAATGTAAACAAATTACAATTTTGTTGTTATCGTTAGAAAGCTTATTTATTAGCTTTCGAACGAGAATAAACAATCTTGTATTTTTTTTTTCAAATAATGGTCTAAATTGATTTCAATTGAAGCGCATGCTTGCTTCGAAAAGCGCACATTTTTCTTTGACGGTCGATATCTCAGGAACTGGAAATGATAGAAGTTTAAAACTTTGGGTTTCACTTAGTTGAAATGTTTACTATCGACTAAATATTTCGTAAAAAAGATTGGTGAACTTCGATATTTTTTATTTTTGTCCACCAGATATCTGATAGATATAGCATTTATCCTGCAAGCGTTTAGCTCTTAAAACGTATGAAAACGCATATTAGGCAGTTTAGTTCGGTTTCAATAATCAGTCAAAATGAAATGTTTTAGGTTGGAATCGTTTATGAGTTTAGCTGGTAGAAGGAGGAAGGATGAGTTTTATGCAAACTGTGAAGGGGGGAATCATCAAACTTATAAGACTACAAATTTTAACTGTTGATTTTTTTTTATTAAATGATCATTTCTTTGCGGTATATGTATTCACAATCGCAAATGAGTTCACAATGCGCTATTGAAATATCCCTAGTGAATGGTAGCTTTGCAGAGTTACAAGGTTCATATTGCACTTGTCTTTAAATACTTACGGTGGAGTTGGAATGATCTTGTTAAATTAGGGTGTATTCTTGCTACTTAGGAGCACTGGACTGTAAACTAAGCGCAGTAAATGAATCCTAGTACTGTCTTGCACGCACCTTAGCAGGTTTCTTCTTCATCTGAACTGGGGTGGCTTTTCTCAGCTCAGCAGTTGCTGGACTTCCGTAGGCGCTCGCAGAGCTAATGGCTGATCCATCCTTTCCAGTACTGTAGGAGTTGGCAATCGCGATGATATCACCGTTAGTGCCGCCGAAGTTGATTGGGAAGAATGCATTTGGAGCAGCAGGACGGCCAGCACCACGACGACTGACCTGAGAGTCTTGTTCTTCTTCTTCGTCAGAGTCCAGCTGAACAGTAACCTTCTTCTTCTTCTTCTTGTCTGAGATCACGGCTGGGACAACTGGAGAAGCAGCAGCTGGATCGTCAGCGATGGGTTCTTCTGCCTCTACCTCATGAACAGCTGGGACATCATACTGAGGCACGTCTTCAAATGGGATCTGTTCTTCTGGGTATGCATCGGCAACAGACTGTACGTTCTGGTCCTGAGCTGGCAAATCACCACTTTCATCATCTGCGTCTTGGCAATCTGATGAATAATAATATACTTTCAAACGTTAACCCACGTTCAATACATATCGGACATCTTACCTTTCAAGTACGTTCCGGTAGCAATGGTATTTCCAGCAGCGAAAGCTGATACTGCAGCTGAACGACCTGGATTCCGGAGCTGCTGATTTTGGTAGTGAATTCCATACAAAGATTGCCGTGAAGCCATAGAGCCCATAGGTTGTTGGTAGTACATGAATGCTGACAAGTGAGAAATATCCACAATTAATACCACTTCAAATTCTAACAAGTATCCTTTTAATCGATGAATACGCACCATTTTGCACAGGGATCGAATATCCAGCACTGATTCCACACAGAACAGCTAATACGGCAACGATCTTGATCATTTTTGTAATTTAACTATTTGTTCACTTCAATTACGAGGATTTGTTCAAAACCTAAATATTAATAACCGAAAATTTTGAGTTCGTCGTCAACTGACGTTCTCAGATCAAAAATCAGGAGCTTAACTTATGTAGTGGTTGGATAAGTTCCCACCGATCACTGATATTTCTGACACCATGAACGTGCGCTTTTATACCGTACATAGCAAATTGAGTAGTTGGTATGCATGTGGTGTAAATTGTCGCACATGCGGTGTACAAGAATGATACTTATCACTGATTGGAAGCAATCCGATTAACTTTAATCTATAATATATGTTTATGCCAGATGCACTAGCATCACAATGATTTTTTAACTCCCCAACATAGAATTTCGTGAGATTCAATGAATGAATTTTCTGATTACAAATTTAGTTATATTCGATGGATTGCTAACCATTGATGGTGATCTATCAACTCCAAGCCATATCCTGGAATGAATATCTGATTAGGTTTGATGTCTGAGTGATTCAATTACAGGCAATGAAATTTTTTTTTCTTTCATTTAATCACTTCTTTAGTTAGCAATAAGAAACATCAATTAAATACACTGTAGTGCAAAATTACCCGAAAAAAAAAAATTATATTTAAGAAAAAGTAAAAAAAAAAAAAACACGCTGGTGGTGTAGTGGTAAGCTTGCAAGGAAAAAAAATCTGAATTTAACTGGCGATGTAAAAATCCATGCATGCAAACATTCATACATGTAAACTTCCTTTTCACGTAAACTATCAGCTTGCAAGAAATTTTGCAAACAAAAGTGGACAGTTGCATCAATATATGGAATATACCTTGACATGTCTCATAAATTTACACGATTTATAATCTAAACTTGTATGATATATGACGCTCCATTTATGTGCATCATAGTAACGGAAATATACACTACTTTGTTTTTGCTGTGTAGGCAATAGGGTACTCTATGGGACCATCCCTAAATGACGTAGTATATTTTTGACCAATTTTTGCACCCCCCTCGTAGCGTACGGATTCTGGGTCATTTGGTCGAAGCATCCTTGCCGACTGTGATATTGCAACATTATGTGGTGCAACATTATAAATTCTGTATTCTTTAATGCAAAACCAGTTGGGTGCACTGGGCTGGGATCTGACACCGAGGGTTCGGTACATGCACCGCATAGGCAAAAAATACATTTCGAGAGGACATGATCCAAACTGTCATAATGCAACATATGGCTCTGATTCAGTGGTAGTGGAATCGAATTTTTGAGTTAAACGAAACATATGCAAAGATTTTAATATTTATTCCCACTGCACATTTCATATTAATAACTTTTTTAAATCATTGCGCAGGCATGGAAAATCATTTACATTCATTTCATGCATTCATTTACATTCATTTGCCTCTAACTTTTTTCAACAACAGAATTCCGCAAAATAATGTATGGAGTTTTAGTAGGTTTTTTTTTGTTAACTACAACTTTTGATTGATTGATTTATCTTTATTAGGGAGGCTTTCAGCCTGGGGCTGGTTCGCCTCCAAGCAACTACAACTTTTGTTAACAACCAAAAAGCAACACATTTTTAAACATTTCCTTTGATTTTTACTTTTACACTCTTACCGTAAGCTCTGAATGTAGGTAGTGGCTGAGAATGATGTGCATGATTGGGATAAAAACAAACGAATATACTATTACGTAGTGATGAATAGCACAAACTCCATACTCCATATAATATACTATAATAGTGAGCAGACATGATGTTGATTTTTCATTCATACCATTATATTTTTGGTCCAAGTTTTGATTCCTGAAAATGTTATGGTATTGAATCTTCGAAAACTTTTCAATATCGACAAAAACAATTGTATGCGCTTCAGAACCAATTGTATGTCCGATATCACAATGTAATTCCCTAAATCAAACAATTTTTGAATTTCTCTTAGACTTTCAAAGAAAATTAAACACGAATTTTTATCTATCCGGAAGGCCTTTATTATCCAGTCATCAATCTTGAAAATATGGCCACTATTAACATTTTTTCATCTATGAAATCTTGAAATCAGTATATGATCTTGAAAATTTGCCCAAGCTCAGCTAATTCTTCATTTTCTTCTAAGATATAGATGAACATAGAGCCTCCCAAATTTTTGGAAATCTACTCTATCATCGATATTTTCAGCCAGCTGGTTCGTTTACGTATATTTAAGCTACACCGGGGCAAGTGCGTTTGCTTTATGCGATTGTATAACCTTCGCTAATCGTTTTTTTACAATGCGCAGTATTTTTTTTTATTATCAATAACTGCTTAAGTCTACATTCTTTAAAAGCCAATTATTAATTTTAAAAAATCTGAAAAAAAACTTATTGATAAAATACATAATAGGTCTTACTTTCCCGTACACTGCACAGTGGTTGATGTCTTAAAAGCGGGTTGGTGTCTTGATCAAAGTTACAGTAAATGACAATACAAACAATTCTTTTGAAGGCATCAGTCCACTAAATATCTATTCACACAATAAAGCAATGCTTTCCAATGGAGCGTTTTTACGGACGATCCCTTAAAATATGATTTTATCTATAACTTTTTTCATGAAATTTCTACTTGTTTGTCATGTTGTAATAAGTTGTTTATCACACATTTTTGTAGATGAAAATGACCCGCTATTGTTTTTATCGTTGGAGATATTGTACATCTTTGATCCAAATTGGAATCTTAATAAATCAGAAGGTGGCAAATGGTGGAAGATCATATATCGTTTGATGGAAAGTACATTGAAAACAGTGAAATATACCGCCTGAATTATATACATCTGATAACATCATGAAAAGTTACAGCAGTTTTAAGGAGAGTACACAACCCAACAAACAATTCAGAGTCACAAATAAGCATATATATTGAATAAATGCTGTATAACAGTGTACAATGCTGAATAAAACGAGTTGTCGAATTATGTGCTGAAAAAGCTCATTGAGATCCATAGATGCACATTTATTTCACTGTTGACTCTGATTTGATTAATTTACTTATTAAAAGCTGTATAAGCGTTTAATGTCTCCCCAGTTCAACGCCAGAAGATTGATCTAATAACAAACTGAATAAGTGTAATTTGTACATACATTCACATTTTAATTCGACTGTTTTCAATTCATTTAATAACATGCTCTATTAGACGTCTAATAAATGTCCTCTAGCTCCATTATTAGATTTCATTACATTGTTTAAAAATATTCCTGAATAAAGGTGAATACAGTCAGCATAATAGCTCTTATACCACTATGCGTCTATGTTGTAATCACATGATTTGTAAATGCTTTATAAACGACGTATTAGATTCATTATTCGACAACAATGGTGCAGTCTAACAACAAGACGAAATCAGTAGAGTAGTGGTTACTGTTTCCGCTTTCCAAGTAGAAGGTCGTGAGTCAATCCCAAGCTCTACCTTTTTTTTTAATTTGTGTTCTACGTCTTTTTTTTTTTTTTTTTTTTTAACTCTTTATTTGTTTTAAATTCAAAATAAATTACATTTCATTTTTAACCTAGGTGCTCCAGTTACTACAGTAACTTACCAGCCTTAATTGTTATGATATATATCTAAGTGTTTTTACATTGTTCCTGTCTTGGCAATTCAGTATTTTAAACAGGTTTTTTAAACCTGCATGTCAGTATAACAATTGATAGCTTAAAACTAAATAACTAAAACTAAATCTTATCTAAGTATAAAGGGAATTAATCGTTGCAATTGAGGATTGTAACGATTTTTGCCGGAAATTATTAATTATTTTGTTGGACATTTGTGCTAAAGTCTCAACATTCGAAATTCTATGTACTTCGGTAGTACTGTACCAGGGAGGCAACTTCAAAATCATCTTCAGAATTTTGTTCTGAATCCTTTGAAGTGCTTTTTTCCTGGTAGTGCAACAACTAGACCATATTGGCACAGCGTAAAGCATGGCCGGTCTAAAAACTTGTTTAAATATTAGAAGTTTATTCGTCAGGCAAAGTTTGGATTTCCTGTTTATAAGAGGATACAAACATTTTATATATTTGTTACATTTGGCTTGAATGCCCTCAATGTGATCTTTAAAAGTTAATTTATGGTCAAGTATTAATCCAAGATATTTCACTTGGTTTGACCAGGAAATTGGAACTCCGTTCATAGTGACTATGTGACTACTACTAGGCTTCAAAAAGGAAGCCCTGGGCTTATGTGGAAATATTATAAGTTGAGTTTTGGAAGCGTTGGGAGAAATCTTCCATTTTTGTAAATAAGAAGAGAAAATATCTAAACTTTTCTGAAGTCTGCTGCAAATAACACGAAGACTTCTTCCTTTAGCGGAAATGCCTGTGTCATCAGCGAACAAAGATTTGTGGCAACCCTGAGGCAAATCAGGGAGGTCCGAAGTGAAAATGTTATACAATATAGGCCCAAGAATGCTACCCTGAGGAACTCCTGCTCTAACAGGTAGTCGATTAGATTTGGAATTTTGATAATTTACCTGCAGAGTTCTGTCAGTTAAATAATTTTGAACTAATTTCATAATGTAAAGTGGAAAATTAAACTTTTTCAATTTAGCAATCATTCCACTGCGTCCTAGCAAGAAGTACGGTCGACTTAGTTCGCGCTCCGCTATTTTGGAAGTTTTCTCGCTATTCGCTTGATTTAAATTGTCAGTTTTTTCTCGCTTAGAGTTCCCAGCTAAATAATTAACTAAAAGTGAGTTTTTTTCTGAGAAGAAAGTGTGTTTTCGGCATCATCGGAAGGAAAATTGTTTTTACGATTGCCAATTCGTCAACCATTTTGCGCACCATCGGTGCGTGGTAACGCATACCTGCACACGGATCATCGTCATCGAGTGTCAGCATCTGCCTCCGCATTTACACCGCTCATCTATCATCGTGTGTTCAGCTGAGTGCCGACCCTCACATAAGCACACACCAACGAAGACCGCCCGCACACGCTGATCGAAGATCATCCACGCTGCGCGTCGCTCCGCTGCTGCCGTTTAAACGCTCGGTGGTAGTAGTATAGGATTATCAGATAAGTTTTTGTTCTTGTTTC